TATGTATGTGTGTATATATATGTGTGTATATATATATATGTAATAGTAATCATATTCAGTGTATAACATAGGTGAGAAACATTTGAGACAGTTAAAGATTCAAAACATGTTCCTCTAGTACCATGGTAAAATGAACCCTTTCTCATTTTTGTTTGTTTGTTTGTTTTTATGAGGTTTTAGACCTCCTGTTGTAGAAGCATGCTTTAAAACAGCTACATTGAAAAAGTGTTCTGTTCAGGATCACTGGGGAAGGTGTACTTTTTGAACCTCACCTGAGGGAAAGCTACTTAAGAAAGATAATGTGGAACAGAAGAGGATGACTGGCAAGGAGAAATGGGTGTATTGGGAAGAAGCTATAGCTGAAGAGTAGTATGGCAAGTAGAGCCTTAAGTGTGGTTGGGAGACTTACCTCCTGAACTATTAGAAAGAAAATCTCACCCCAGAGAGACTTAAGAGGAAAATTAATTGTTCTAAACACTGTAGAAAAGGGTGTCCAGTATGAAGTTGGGAAGCCCTAGGTGAAATGATTGTAAACTCATCTTACTGCTGTAGACCGCTGTTCAGCTTCCCAAAATGACTAAGTGTCTAAATTTCCCTTCAGTTCAGGATACAACGTTCACTTGTGAATTACTCTGTTTTCTGGTTGTCCTATAGCCGTCACAGGGAAAACAGTGTAAACAACCAAGGAAGGAAAATGCATTATTCTGCACACTATGGATTTCTAGCCTGTCTTGTGAGCTGAGTCAAATATTACTAGAAATTGGGCCCTTAAGGATGGTCATATTTTGGTAGTTACCCACCTGCTCTTAATTAAGCAGCATACAGCACACCCGTCTTTCAGCTTTGCTCAGTATAAACTACACTGGTAAGAAGTCTTGATGAGGCTTTTAGACAGGGTCTACCTGAGGTGAGATAACGAGTTCTGGCTGGAAGGAAGAGGTAAGATTCTTACTTTGATATATTGCTTGTATATGTTAATTTTAGTATGCCTAGAGACGAGAAGGTATTGAGGAATTAGATTTTAACCAGAAATGTTACTTTCACTTCCTTTTAAAATTAGTAATTGGCCACAGTCCTTCCACAACAAAAGTAATTAGCTCGTGTTTTCCATAGTAGTACAGGTGGAAGATAACCAGGTCTTCTTAGTGGGTGCTGTGATAATTGCATCCGAATTATTAACTTGGATGTCTAGCAGACAATTTTTGATGTATTTATGTAGTCATAAATCCTGAAACTACTTAATTTCTTTAATGGACTGAAACTATTCCTTATTTTCCTAATATAGTGACTTACAGATGCCAAAATAATTTGGTTTATGACTGAAATAGCATTCTTACCTGTCTTTAGTGTTTTTCTCTGAGAAAAACTTAATACTTTGATTAAAGGTACTGTTTGAGAATTAAAATGTGAATTCAGAATAATTAATGCTGCTAGGGTCATAAAGTGGCACTAAATCTGTAGTTAGAGATTCAAAGATTAAAATCTGAGTAATTGAGTAGACACAGAACTTCTTTCTGATGTTCTTCTGGTTTGAGATTATGTTATGACATTAAAATAAAAATGAAATTCTGGAGAAATTATTGATGTACAATAAAGATGAGGCTAATGTAAGTTGGGATCTGGAGAAGTTTTTAACACCACAGCAGTGTATCACATCAGAATATATTAACAGCTTTTTGAAAACTTATATCATAAAAATCTGGAGAACCATTTGAAAGATTATTTCAAAGAATAAGATCTCTGAGAAATTATTAAAAATAAATGGAGGAGGGAATAGAATTACAGAAGCAATAACTGAGATAAGACGAAATATAGAGGAAATCAAACCAGGTGAAGGAAACCTGGGAAAATTTCACGGATACCTTTTCTATTATTGACTGAGCAATAAAGCAGTTTATTTGCTAGCTTGAGATAATGTATTTTCATATGGCCAGTAGGCTATGCAGAGGAACTAAATTAATTGGTGTGGATAAGACCTTAATACTTACTTTTCTTATTTCTCTTTCATAAAGCAGAAACTTTAAAAAATCCTAAGTGATGAAAAGCAGGCATTTTGATCTGCGTAGGGAACAATTTTTAGCCTTGCCTATAAGCTATAAAATTCTGTTCGGGGTTTGTTATTAGTCCAGATGGATTTGGGCCCTTGTTCTGTGATTTGGTAGTAAATCATTTAAGGCAAAGTTACAGTTTGTTCAGTAAGAGAGATAAATCACAGCTTCTCTCTTGAGATTATATCAATGTGTTAGTCAAGGCATGATAATGGTGGTGAATCAATTAAGAAAGGGAAAATTAACAGCACTGTCTTGTACTATGTTACTATACATTAGTGGAGTAAAATACAAATATTTTAAGAAGTGTGATATTCAATATATTTGAAGTCTTCATTGTAATTCCTACTAGCAGATCATATTAAGTTAAAAATAGGAAAATTGCTGACAAATGAAAAAATACAGTATTATACCATATGATATTTTAAGGGGTGCTTTCCGTATTTCTGGTATGAAGTTAACAGCACTCTTAACACTAAAAGTGATTAATTACCTGAATTGAGTAGTAACTATCTCATGAAAACGCACAGTATTTATTAACTTACAAAGTACCTTAGTTTTGTTGTGTTATTCTACAGGAAGAATCCCTTGAGATTTGTTTATAAGAGACAAAGGGTTTAACTAACAAACTTATTTGGACCTAGAAGACTGTAGCACTAAAATATGCTCTAGCAATAGCATGAAAATTGGAGGTGTACTTTTTGTTTTTCTACTGCACTTGCAATGCTTCCCATGAAACGTCTTCAGAAAAAGTGTCTCACAAGTTCTAATTGCTGATCCTTCTGTGAAAGACATAAGGCTGTGTGGCTTTTCTGAAAGGTGCTGTTCTCAACTCTCTCACACACACAGATAATCAGAAATTGTCATTCAGAAAGTAGCATTTTAATGTGTGGTAGTAGCTCTTTATGTTTGGGAGAATAGCTCAGTGCACACAGATATTGAACATTTATAATGAAACGTGATGCATTTGTACTTTAAAAATTGAAGATGTGGCATGCATTTTGATAATGGGATAATGGAGACTCCCTACCCCTACTATCATCTCTGTTCAAGGCCATTAGGATTCAGAATATTAAAAGCAGAGCAACTGGGCGTAACAGCCTACGTTCAACATCTGTCATGCTGGAGTCCATTAGTGTTCAATTGCATCCTATTGTTTTTGCATTATTCAACCTCATTTCATTGTCATTGCTTCTGCTAGGGATTAATCAGCTGTTTACAACTGTGCCAAGTTTTGGAGTCATAATGAAAACAATTGAGCTATAGTTCTAAATAAATATACAGTATTCAGTCTCTAATGAAAAAAGTTACCAATTTATGAATGCTGGTAACAATTTAATTAAGTTTGAAATCAATACAGATAATAAATCATTGCGTGGCACGTCTTTTTTACCTTTTGTGTATATCATAAAATGATTGCATGATATTTCCTTGTAAGTTTATGTAGATAACGATTTTAATAATACAAGTACAGTAAAAGAAAAATGTTTTGATTATGGGATATGGGTGTATGTATGGTGGCTTCTCTATCATTACAATGGATAGCAGAAATGATCCCTTACTGCCAGCAAGCAGATTCCTTTTTTTTCACATCTTCTTTCATTCTCTTTACTTATTTAGGGATACTACTAAAATACACTTTTTTTTTTTTTAATTCACATAAAATACACATATATACTTTAATATTCTGTATTAAAAGGGCAATTTTCAGACGATTTGTATACCTACATGTTTTCGTATATGTCTGTATCACAAACTATCTAATTACTTTCACAATAACTATTAGATAAATCCATGGCTATGTTTCAACTGTTTAAATATATTTAAATCATTTTAATGACATTGGATTTGCTGACAGGTGAATACATAATCCCCATTTTTTTTTTCAAGATACTACTTTTATCTGCAATGTTGTGTGCTTTATAGAACACTAAAATTGTGAGTGCTGAAGGGTTTCTAATAATTTGAGTCTACTTACTGTGGTACCGTATAGCGCAAACCAGTAGTATTCTCAGCCATATACCATTAAGCTAATTGTCCTCTGTTTCATTCGAGCCGTTGTTTCTTCTACCCCTGATGCCACCTATCCAGAATTTTCACATGTTTTAATGTACGAATACTACAATGCACAGAGATTTTTTTTTTTTCCTGACTTGCAACAGATTATCCATTGAAAAGGTCTTTTGCTTAACTGCCCAGAGTCTTGTGGGGCCAGCCAGACACTACTCCAGATGGCAAGTTGTTAGGGCTGGACAGAATGGCTTTGGAAGACTTCTCAACAGATGAAGGCTGTAATGTTCGGATTTTACTGTGTTGTTTTTTTTTTTTTTTTTTTTTTTTTCCCCTGTAGTTCCCAGGGTGGGAAGGTACTGGGATGGAAGCAGAGTGCCGCCCGCCCACCTGCTACCACCTGTTTAGCTTTTGCAGTTTCTATAAAGCCTCATCTTGTCTGTAAGACACAATCATTGCTTGCCGGCAGGAGTCAAGAAAGGAGAGATTTCTGTTACGAAGTTATGTCTTCAGATTGCAACAGTTCATCATTGCAAAATACTCTCCTAAACTGAATCAGAACTTCTTTCATTTGGAATTGATGTGTCTTTAATCCATTAAGATCTTTTTTGGATTAAATGGACCATTTTCCTCAGTAACGTACATTTTGAGAATGGAGAATTCATTGTTTTCTATCTCTCCCAGTTTAAAGAAATTAAAAGAATGAAAACATAAGACATTAAAAGCTCTTTATTCTTTCTTTAAACGATAAGAAGCAATTTTCAGACATTTCCAGAAGAACCAGAAGACCTTTTATTTTGTTATTTATTTTTTTAGATTCTAAGAAAAATATCCCATCATTGATATCTGGAAACAGATTCCAGAGGTACGCAGGGTACTTACATGAGTGCTTTCCCTACCACTTTTTAGACACCTAATTTGTAAAAAGTAATCTTTGTGTGAAACTGAAGCTGCATCGAATATGAAAACCTGTAAATCCAGTCATTTGGATTCGGGCGTAGAATCAGACATCCAGTGCAGAAGTGCAGCAGGCTGTGTCATGAAGTGCAGTTCGGAAAGGATGGAGAGTGCTGCAAAGAGAAGACTGGCTGCCAACGCCAGGGAGAGGAGACGGATGCAAGGACTGAACACAGCCTTTGATCGTTTGAGAAAGGTGGTTCCACAGTGGGGTCAAGATAAGAAGCTGTCCAAGTATGAGACCCTTCAGATGGCTTTGAGTTATATCATGGCTCTCACCAGAATACTTGCTGAAGCAGAAAGATACAGTACTGAAAGAGAATGGATTAGCCTTCACTGTGAACACTTCCATCCGGAGAGCTACCACCATTACGCCGGACAAAAAGTGGCAACAGACAGTGATCCCTACGCACAGCGAATATTCAGCTATCACCCTGAACACTTTCAGATAGCTAATTAGAACTTTTAACAAACTAAGAATAAGCAGCAGGCCAGGTGTGTAATTTAATAATTAGCAAGAGTTAATCTGCTTGGATAAGGTAATATTGGCATTATAATAGCTCATTCTTGTTTGCATCTTATACTAATTTGACACAATAAATTTGCTTTGAGAACTTTAAATTGAAATGCATTTAAGAAGATTGAATATATTTAAGGCTGGTGGAAAGCATACTTTTAATTTGAAAGCTTTCTGAAAGTTGCTTCCTAGTTTATCTAGTTAATTTGATTAGTTTATTAAATAAGTTTTTGGTGTTTTTTTGTTTTTTTTTTTTTTTTTTTTCCTGTGACAAACTGTGACAGTATTCTCTACAGATCACGGGCCAAAATGACCAGCAGTGTAACTGAATGGAATAGCACCAGAAATGAACTTCATGCCATGTTTTTATTTTCATGTCAGCTTTAAAGTTATTCTTGGGTTTGTTTTCACAGAAATGGATCCCATGGAAAAAGCTTTATATTGTATTGGAGTTCTAGTCCTCAGAGAACTAATTTTCTTAAACTTTGTAAGTTTGACGTATGGGTTCCAAGGTTGTGTAGGTATGCTTTAATCCAATTTATGGTGTCTCTTGTATGCTCGAAAAAGAGCTTAGTTTCAAGTCATGGAAGGAATTTTCAATGGCTGTAAAAGCACATGTGATTATATACCATAAATGAGAGTGCACGCGTGGAAATAATCTAAACTTCTAGATTTTTGTAGACTTTAAATGTTTGGATTTTATTTTTAAATTTTATGTTATCTGGAAACAATAACAGGTTTTGTAAATCATAAATAAAGTGTTTTCTATGATATGTCCTCACCAACTACCTGAGATTCCTACTCTAGGAATTACTTACGAGTGGCTTTCCTACCCCAAATGTTACACTCCTTCCATCACAGTCTTGGCAGTTTAATGTGCAGAAGAATCAGCTAGCAAATGATGCTTGCCTCTCAGTCAGAGTAAGAAGTATATTTTAACTATCCCCTCTAAAAACAGACTTTAAAGGTAAGAGTTTGGTAAAAAGCTACAGAGCATTCTTGTGCAGCAGTTGAGTTCATTTCAGCCCTGGTGATGCCCTGAACTGCCTTTTGTTTGTTCGGTTCTTGCACTTGTGGAGGATAGAGGGATCTGGGTAGAAAAGGCAGAAGAGGAAAAGAGGTTGGGAAGGTCAAAAAAATGAGTAGGAGTGGGACGGCAGATTTGTTTGTAGCAAGATGTAGAGTCTGCAAAAGTTTGACTGCTGATCTCTGTTGTGATGGCAGCAGACTTTGAAGCGGAAGGGTACTTCTGCTGAGGGGAGTTTCCAGAAACAAGCCCTCGCCAGCATTAGCTGTGAGGGAGAAGGAGAAAAGAAGCTGCTGCCCCAGAACAGCTGTTGGTGGGTTTCCAGCAGGGAAGGCTGGCGGGTACCCTGCTGGCTGCTGCCATGTCTTGTATTTTAGAATTCTTTCAAATGACAAATGAATAGCTTTGATCGGAGGTATTTTCAACAATTAAGCAGCTTTCAGTGAAAAACAAAAGCATCAATAGGAACTAAGCCTTGTTTTGGGGGAGGGAGAATCTGCTGCCGGAACAGTTGCCTACAAAGACCTGACCTTACTGTCTGTCTTCTCTCAGAACCCTTACTGACGTTTTGCCCTTGGTCACCGTTGTGCAGACTAGTACGTTTCCTGAGCTGGGAGTTGGACTGTTCCTGGGGTCAAAGATGCTGGGACAGACTTTCAGGCACATATAAACATATATAGAAGAGGCACTGTACATTCTGAGTAACTCTCTCCCTTAATCACTGGCATTCAGGAAGGTTTTCTTAACGTAGATTTTAGTCTCTCTAAAGGTAATGAATAGTGTTAGTTATTAAAATGTGGGCTTTTGTTTCTTATGAATTACATTATCTCTTTTTCGGCAAACAGCAGATGCAACCTCCTGGGAATATGAAATCATGTTACTCACCAGTTTCTTTGCAGTTTAAATAGAATAGAACTGGTTTTTGTCCATCACATAGGCAAGTTACTACTGTTTGAATATTCCTCATCATAAAGTGACCAGTTTATATATGTAATAACAATCAATACAATCCTTTAATAATTAAATGATGTGCCATCTTACACTACTTTATTAGCTGTAAACTTTATGCAGACATTGTCTCACCTGTGTTGCTAGCACAGTAGGGGGTTCTCCATCCTGAAACAGGAATGTGATGCAAATAAATGGTGCAATTAAATGATGTGGAACTCTTGGCTTAGTGAAATATAGCCTTCTAAACCTCAGGTGGGAAGGTAATACAATACAAAAATATAAATACTAGAGTAGTGTGCAAGAACAGTACTGATGTGTTTCTGCACTACTGGCATATATTTTGATTTTGTGGGATGTGACATTGCAGTTTATATGTAATTTACATAAAAGCACTTAACATCCATTTCTCCTCTGATTTTGTTTCTTCCATGTAGCATTGTAATTTACTGTCTACTGCATATAATGATAGATATAATTATAAAAATAATAAATTAATATGCAGTGAACGATTGAATGCTAGTAAACTCACATAAAGAAGAACACACCAACACAAAACATAAAATATCTGTGGTCATGTTACCAAAAAATATTACGAATTGAAATTGAAGTCCTGAAAAGCTCTTTAGTGCAGCAGATAGCTTGCAAACGCTTTGCCAATCAGGTCATTGCATCGATCTGTGCTGTTGAACAATATAAGATTATAATCCCAATTCTCTTCAATGTGGTTGTGCTAGTGGGAGGTGAATGTCTTATTGGTCTCTTTATCTATTGATCATAATTAGTAATATTAGTATTGTAAAAACTGTGGTTTTATATAATGCTGTAGTATTTTTGTGTCTTGGGAGGGTGCAGTGTTGAGCTGGAAGTTAGGACTTCCAATTTACTATAATACTGAGGGCAGCAGAGTAAGTTCTTTATAGTGTATAGACAGCTGTCTTTTGATCTGTCAGAGCTTTTTGGGGAGTGAATTGGGGCAAGGGGGAAGTTTAATAATTAAAAATTCTTTCTGATGTCAGTCTGAGAAGCGGATATTATCTGTGCTGGTTTGGACTTCTCAGACCTAACTATTCAGGAAATCATTGGTTTATTTTCATAGCTTTCCTTTACAAATACTTTAGTGACACTGTGAAATGTAAACTTGACCATTTAACTTGGGTTTGATTATTGCTCCCAAATATTTGTTCTCCACTGGCCGTTTGATGCTTGTCAGATAATGGCTGTGACTCTTCTTCAGTACTGGGCTTTCTTGGTATGGGTATTTGAAGCTCACTCCCCTTAGATAATTATTGCTTCCAGTAGGCCTCCAAATGAAGCAAAAGCTTAGATGCTCAGAGCTTGTTGTGTTCTTAGTGACTGAGTTTTGTCTGCTTGTAAAATTTTGTTCCACTGAAGAGCAGTGCAAACCTGCAATACTTCTATTTGTAGTATCAGTACATTGTAATTCTAGAACCACATTCTTGTGGAAACATTGGGGTGAGAAATGCTTGTTTCATTAAATATTTGTTGCGTGCTACACACATACATGTTTCGCTATTGAAATTCACTGTGAAATTCTAATGAACTACTTGTGGGAAATTAACCTTTATTCTTCCAAAAGGTTCAGACTGCAGGGTTTTCTATTTGAAGTAGCTGTAGATACTCTGCCTCTCTGATTCTTTGAGTCATATCACCCTGTTTTGACAAGGTGACCAGAGTTATTTTTTAACTCGGAACTGGAGTAACATTTTTAACCACAGTGACCTTTCAGTGGCTGAAAGCAGAACTAGAGTAGCATGTTCCCAAAATGTGTGTTAGTAACAAAAAGTCAGTGGTTTCTCCCTGTCTTAAGAATCGAGGTCATCAGTGATATGTATTAGCATGTTAGAACTTCAATCAATTCTGATTTTTTAGGCTTCTATTTTCCATCTCACCATTTATAAGGTATTTAGGGTACAGTCCATCTTGTACTATACACACATACAGGACAAAGCACAGTTCTTGACTGGAATTCCTAAATGCTGCTGCAGTACAAATTTTGAAAAGTAAAAATGTTGCTAACTTTAGTTATAGTCCTGTAAAGTCGGTGACACTGCAACTTTTTCACGCGGGAAAGCATGAGTATCATTAGATTTTTTAGTGTTTAGCTAAGTTTCCCATACCTTGTTTATTAGAACTTCCCTGGTGAAACCTTTGTGAAAGTCCCTACTGTGATGTGATTCACTAGGCACAAATTTTAAAAAATACGATTTCCAGTCAAATTTTTGATTTTCCAAAACAAGTTTTTACCTTAAGATGGGTACCCTTACACTTAGGTTTCCAGCTATTTGAGCTAAGCAATATGGATGCAATTTTCTGAAATTTAGGAGTGAAATTTATCTAGATTTTTGAAATTCAATAAGAATTTACAGAACAGCTTCTTTTTGTGCTAAATATGTACAGCTGTTCTATCTCTATAAATTATACAAGGGAAGAACAAATGCACAGAATAAAGAAGTTTATTCATTGCAGAAGCAGTCCAGTGTTTCCTCTACACAGTTACCTTGTAACAATCATTGATTTCACCTGATACTTGAGCACTTTTTAAAAAATGCTTTATGTTTTTAACTTTAATTACATTTCAAGAAACTGTGGCTTTAAAAAAACCAAAGCAACTTCACCTATAATATTTAAATATATTTTCTACCAAAGAGTACATTTTAATATTGTCTCCTATTTTTTTCTAATTTGTAATTATTTTTTCAGTTGTATAGAAATTAGCATGCAAAATATATCATATACAGAATTTGTCTGTATATGTAACTCCAAGGAATAAGGAGTTCATTTTTGAATGGTTTCCTGCAGCCTGGGGTGCATGGTCAGGTTTGTGGGTTTTTTGTTTGTTTGGTTGTTTTTTTTGTTTGTTTGTTTGTTTGTTTGTTTGTTTTGTTTTGTTTGTTTGTTTTTTCAAAATTTCAGAATGTCTTCAGTATTTTTTCATTTCTTTACAAAACTGCATTGCCTGCTACTAATGGACTGTGTGATCCTAAGGTATGGTCAGTTTCTGAGCAGAACTTCCCACTGATATAAGTGGACAACTCCACTTAAATTCATAACATACATGGCCCAAGATTTCTTTGTGTTATGCAGTAAATGGTTCTTTATATATGTAGTGGACTTGAAGTATAAAGGCATTAAAAAAAGCAGCTTGTGCTGCTCAGAGGAAATTATAAAATGCGTAGAAGCTGCTTTAGCTCATGGAGCTGTAGCTGAGGTAATATGGTCTTAAGAACATTGTCTTTGACCTAGCAGGCACAGAATTATATAGAAATCAAGCCAGATAGGAATGGAGAAACAGGGTTACATTGGAAAGTGAAATCAGTACTGGCGAATATAATGGAGAGCATCCTTTTTTTTTTCCTCCGTTCTCTTCTATATCCAAGCTATAAGATTCAGCTTCCTTCAAGTGTTGGGTTTGCATCTGCTGCTCATTTAAAATTAATTCCCAAGTCTGCTAATGGACCCTTATACAAAAAAATATGCTAAATCATTCAAATTGAAGATATGTGTAGGGAAGAGTGAAATTCAGTGTGGTTTGTGTGTTTGATTGGCCCTCATTCAATTTTCACTTGTTCAAGTGCTGGATACACAGCTAAGGGTTGAAAAAGTCAGTCCT